TTGATAAAAAGTAATTTGAAGCTTACTATACTGTCATCTGATAAAAGATAAGAAATTAAGTGGCATAGTGAAAAGTGTAGTAAAACAACTACTATGCATTGCTACTAAAGAAAAATTTCAACTTGGCAAAACGCAGATAATTGTGGGCCCTTCCTGGTGGTGCTACAAGTTAAAGCACAGCACAGTGAAGCTAGCCGCAGCAGTTTCAGTTTCAGCAGCCCCTGCAGCAGGAGTTCGATCCCCAGCCCGGGAGCTGACCCACATGGTGTGGCAGACCTCTCCTGTCTCACCCCCTGCTCTCCTCAGCAGCATACTTCATGGATCTGCTCCCCACTCTGCTCCCCACTCTGTCTCTGGTGAATCCTTTTACTGCTTCTGCATCTGTCGCCTGTACCCCAGTTCTTGTATGCATAAATGAATAAATCTTTAAAAAAAAAAAAAAAAGAACAGAATTTGGCTTAAGTACTAGTTCTCAAACCAGCCCAGAGGTTTGGTGAAAAAAACAGGGAGATATTCTGTTCTCTGGTAAATCCTCTCACCCCCCTACCCCACATCTCTGGCCTGTACCCCAGTTCTTGTTTGCATAAATAAATAATTTTTTTTAAAAAAAAGAAAAAAAAAGACAGGGAGATGCTGAACTCTCAACCCAGACTTACTGAATTAGCAACTTCTGGGGTGGGGTCTGGGAACTATTAGCTTTAAAAGATTGCACAGGTAATTCCAGTTAGTGAACAACTGGTCTGCCTTATCTCATTCATATATATATATTTTTTCACGCATATATTCATATATATTCATACTCTGGTCAGCTCTATGTTCTGCCATATATACATATAGGTACATATATACGTATATACATGTATATGCGTATATATGTACCTATATGTATATATGGCAGAACATAGAGCTGACCAGAGTATGAATATATGTGTGTGTATATATGAATATATGCATGAATATATACAGACACACATATATGTGTTTGAACACACATATACCTATATGTATATATGTATATGGATATATACATGCACGTGTGTGTGTGTGTGTGTGTGTGTGTATTCATGCTCTGGTCAGCTCTATGTTCTGCCTTTGTCAAAGCTGCTCTTGTGAATACAGTCCCATATTCATCATCACCAAAGAATCATGAACATGAGAGAGTCATACCTAGTTGTTCTCTATAGGGAATTTTTGCCCTTCTGTACTTTCGGGCTCTCAGCTGAACAATAAGAAGACTATCTCCTTGACTTAGTTCCGCAATACTATCCTCTCCCTGCTATAAGATCAGTTTTCTCTCTTGTCCCTTTTCCCCTCTTTCTACTTTCACTGTACAAATAGAGAAACTCAGCATTTTTAACAGAGACAGTTGCCTGTAACTACCCAGAACTGAGCCAACTTTCCCTTCTTGCTGGGCCAACAATTCATGAAGCAGCTGGTCTGTTCCAGGTCTCCTTTCAGAGCTGTGTGGTCTGAAACAAATAATTATTACTGGAATATCAAGGAGTACACATTCTCCCCCTAGGAGGGAATGAATATACACAAGAACTACAACAACACTAGATATGAAAATTGAACTCTGATCCACAACACGCATCAGCCAACTCAGGAAGCCAACATACTATCTACAGTGACCTGTTCAGGAAGTCAACCAACTATGTGTAGCACCTGGTGTAGGAAGCCACATAGTAACCTCTCTATTAATGAACTCCAGCCAGAACTTGATCAGTAGTTGTCAGCTTCCTATATTTTGTCCCCATTTCCAACTTAACTCCAACTGTAGAAGTCAGCACTCCTCACAAAATAATATAGTGGTCACTTTTTTTTTTTTTTTTAAGATTTATTTATTTATGCTTCCATAACTGGGGTACCGGCCAGAGGTGTGGTGGGTGAGAAGATTCACCAGAGACAGAGTGGGGAGCAGAACAGGCTGACTGACAAAGTACACTGCCAGGAAAGCAGCGGGCATGTCAGGAGAGGTCTGCCACGCCACGTGGGTCAGCTCCCTGGTGGGGGATGGAACTCGCGCTGCAGTGACTTTGGATAGCTTTATAATGTGGTGCTTTAACCTGTTGTGCCACCAGGGAGCGCCCTCGAAGGGTCACTTCTGTCAGCCTGTCTACAGCTTTTCCAGGTCAACCACCTACATCAGGGCCTACCGGAAGTCTCCCCTTTTTTCCATTATGCTTTCCTACTTCTCTGCTTTCCTTTCAGTCTCTATCAAATGCAAGTGCTGGGAACTGACCCCTTTGCTTTGAATAAGTAGCCTTTGCTTGTTCTCTTCTAGGTGGCAGTCATTTACTTCCACAACTAGGAAAATGGGACTGCATGATTGGAATGAGTCACTGTATTGTTCTTCCTGCTGAGATGGCTGCGCTTCAGGGAGGCTGTGGGATGTAGCAGAAAGAGCAAAGCAGTATTGCTGAACTTGAGGAAGACATGGAAGGGTGTGAAGAGAGGCTGTGGCCTGAACTACCAGGGTTCAAGTCCTAGCTCTGCCACTTCCTACCTGTGCCAATGTAGGTAGATTACTTAACCAAGTTACTCCGTTTCCTCACCTATGAAAATACTGGTGATGTGGGCTCTTCCTGATGGTTCAAGGGGTTAAAGCACAGCACTAGGAAGCTACCCGCAGCCACTGCGGGCACAAGTTTGATCCCCAGCCAGGGAGCTGACCCACATGGTGTGGCAGAACTCTCCTGTCTTACTTGCTGCTCCCCTCAGCAGTATATTTCAGTCAGTCTGCATGTTCTGCTGCACACCCTGTCTCTGGTGAATACGTCTTTAAAATTACCTAAAAAAAAATTGGCGATGATAGTAGCACCTGCCTCATCGAGCAATTGGAAGGGTTACAGGAGACAATGAGTAAAGCATTAATATAAGGATTTCAGGGCTACAAGAAAGAAAGAAGAAAGGATATCGGTAATGTTGACATTTGCAAAAGGCAGCAGAGATCCAGGACTGGGGACTATCTTCCCCATTTAGATGGGCACACTTCCTTCCACTTTCAGTCTCTATAACTTGCTTCACTTATTTATGATATCCACCTGGCTCCTTTCCCTACCTGTGGCCTGCACTAAAAACATTTTTTCTCTCACAAATTTATGAACTAGGGTGCAAAACTGCCCTTGGCTGTTATTATTTTCAAAAAGATCTGGTGTGGGAGGGATCTTATTCTTCAAATGCTTATTAGAAATCTACTTTCCAGGAATAAGAGTAAGATACCTACTGAGGCTTTTATGTAAGGACAGTAATTTAAAATCACAGAATTTATAACATATAAATTAAAAAAAATTTTTAAAGCAATTTTTATATGACTAGCAATCCAATATCATCTTCTAGAAAGTGTGACAATCCTGTTTATCAACAGCAAATAAATATTTTCCTCATTGTCCTCTGCAGTTTTTGATAAGAAAAAAAGCTATTTGAAAGAATTAAGGCTAAGTTGTTTTGATACAATAGTGTTTGCCATTAAGTTTGTCATCAGGGTGTCTCAAATCTAATCAAAACCAACTGTGCTTAACAAAACAATATTTTTGTCCAAGTTCTTTCTTTTCCTTTTGTAAGATTTATTTATTTATGCATACAGAGCTGGGGAGGGGGGTTTACCGGATTCACCATAGACAAAGAGTGGGGAGCAGAGTAGACAGACTGCAGAGCTACACTACTGAGGGGAGCAGCAGCCACGTGGGTCACCTCCCTGGGTGGGGGTGCTGCACGGGCTGCTAGCTTCATAGTGCTGTGCTTTAACCCTGCGCCACCAGGGAGGGCCCTTTTGTCCTAATTATTTCTGACTATCCCACTGGATACTTCCAACTGGCAGCGGCTCAACTTGTCCATGTCTACGTATAACGGAGTTTCCACGACTTTCAGGATTGAAATAAAAAGTCATTCTCTAGCATCAATCTCCATTTCAGCAAACTGGATAAACAAGCAAGATATATTCAGTTAAGAGAATGGGGAGATACGTTAATTACAAATAGAATTCCACTTCAACATTCACTGAAATGTAATTAATTTGGGCACTTGGAAGTGTAGCGAAAATACAATGTTTTAAAAATACCAATGTTTTAAAATTATGAAGATGTTCTACTATGAAACTACATTCTGGGGGTAATATTGCCATGACAAGAAGACCTCACATCTGCATTCTTCTTTAAAAAATTCAGAGGGCCTCCCTGGTGGCCCAGGGGTTAATGTCTCAGCACTGTCAGGTTCGAATTCCATCCCCCCCACCAGGTATCTAACCCACATATGGAAGCAGATGTCTCCTGTCATGACCGCTGCACCCCCCAGCAGAGATTTCAGTGGATCTGCCTGTTCTGCTCTCCACTCTGTCTCTGGTAAATCCTCTCACCCTATACCTCTGGCCTACACCCCAGTTCTTGTATGCATAAATAATAAATTAAGTAAATCTTTAGGGCTCTCCCTGATGGCACAATGGGTTAAAGCACCAAATTATGAAGCGCTGGGAAGCCAGTGCAGCAGGAGTTCGATCCCCAGCCAGGGAGCTGACCCACAAGGCGCAGCAGACCTCTCCTGACCCTCCCGTTGCTCCCCTCAGCAGTGTACTTCATCGATCTGCCTGTTCTGCTCCCCACTCTGTCTCTGGTGAAGCCTCTCGCCGCCCCTGAGCCTCTGGCCTGTACCCCAGTTCTGTATGCACAAATAAATAAATCTTTAAAAAAAAAAAAAACCAAAAACAAACATACATCTTTAAAAAAATATTCCGAAGCAAGGCAGAAGTACTTGAGAACCACTGTATGGTTTCTCTAGGGATTTGTTCTCCCCTCCCAACCTAAGGCTGTTCGTTTAATCTTAAGCGATCCCCTAAGTTCCTCTGAAAGCGAAGGGGGAGCTCTTGTGTGCGTCTCAGGGAGTCTCCGCGTCCTTCTCAGAGCCGGCAGGTTCCGAGTGGGACCATCCCTCGGCCACGCGGGACCCAGGTCTCCCCAGCGCCAACCGGTGCGGCGCGGGCTCGCGATGCCAGCTGCAGGACTCACCCAGGCAGCGCCAGCCCAGCGCGCCGTCGCAGCTGTCCAGGACCCCGCACAACTCGCCCAGCAGCGCGGGCGGCATGTCGAACAGCAGCGTGTGTGCCGACAGCTTGCCGCGGGTCTGGCAGCTCCCGGCCGCCGCCCAGGCCATGGCTCGGCTGCGGGAGACCAGGAGCCGAGCGGGGAAGTGATGCGGAGCTCACGTCTCTGCTCCTCCTCAAGGGGACGTTGCACAACCACGGAAATCCAGCTCCCGCGACCGCCACCCAGACGGCAGAGCTCGCGGGGTTCTGGCCCTAGAAGGGGCGGCCCCTCCTGACGCAGAGCTCCGCCCCTAGGAGATGCTCCTCGGGACTCTCGGGTCTGACCAACAGGGCTCCCTGCGGCTCGTTAGCCCTGCGCGTTGGCTTTAAGTTTTGAATAATCCTTTCATTCCTTTGCATTTGGGAAGGGGCTGAAAAAGCAAAATGTGAGAGCTGGAGAAAGCCCGGAGCTGCAGAACTAATGGCGTGTCTACCTCCGCCCCTGTCTGCCCGGGTGTGGGCTGGCGCCTGGCGGGGGTAGCTGAGGTTCGTCGTTATTTCTTTTAAAAGTTATTTTGTTGAAAAATAATGAACAACTATATACCAGAGACATTTTGTGGGGGTGGAGTGGGGAATGGGATCAAAACGGGGGGGTGGGGAGGGAAATGCCCGGGACTTTGGTGGTGGCACACGGGTGATTTGGTGATGGGAAACCCGCGGGGATTACAATCGAGGTGGGAAAAAAAAATGTGCAAAATGATGTAAAAATAAACTTTTGTAATAAAAAAAAAGTTATTTTGTTGAGAGCGGGCCAGAAAAGTGGTGCATGCTCACTGAAGAATGCTAGGAAAACCCGGAACAATAAAAAGGAAAACAACTACTTAGACAACGCCTCAGTTGGAGACAGCCACTCCAACAGGATTTGGTACACGTTCCTCCCCACTTTAACGGAATAAAGCTCATAAACGTGCCTAGAAGTTAAAAAAGACAAACAAGACCAACGTCGGATAAATTTGTCTTCAAGAAGTGGCCCCTTCCCTATGTTGCTGTTTGATTTTACTATGTTCTCGCCTGCCTTGGCTTTCTTTATGCAACAGTTCGACCGCTTTTTCCTTCCTCAAATAGTTTGACAATAGCTGCCTTTTGGTTTCAACCTGGAGCTAAAGAAAAAAAAAAATTGTTTTGAAATCTGCTGTTGGTGTTGTAATATCCCACTGCAGACATTCTACAATGCTATTGACAAGAAGACGTATTTTCAAAGTGGTGAGAAGAAATCTCAGGCTTAATGACTGCAAGAGTGGATCACCGCCATCAACTGAAAAATACCAGCACCTATTTGAGATCTTTCAGATTGGTAGTATTTGGGGATGGCGCCCCCTGGAGGTCGACAGTGATGGTACACGACCATTTAGTGCTACCTGAAATTTCAAGCAGTTATAATAAACGAAAGTAGTTCACATAATGAGCTTGCAAATTGGTAAAGCCAGTATTATTTGGGCAGGAGTTTCATAGCTCTTTGTTCAAATGACTAAGATTTTATTGTCAACCTGTATATGCTTAAGAAGCCCTCCACCTCTTATAGAGACCACTTAAATAGGCTGAGCAACAGAGGCAAAATACTGAAGCATTTGGTAGTTGTCGAATTGCTAGAACAGGAGCGTGAAACTCAAATATAAAGAGGAGCCAGGAAATCACTGTGGATGACTCCATCACCAAGGCCTTCTTTGCCACATTATCTGCTTTACAGAAAAGCAAGCCAGATTGCTCTTTGTGTGAAAACTTTTTGCTTGGGGCCTCCCTGTGATGGAAGGAGTTAAAGCGCAGCACTATGGAGCTGTCTGAAGCCACTGCAGCACGAGTTCTATTCCCGGCCAGGGGGGTGACCCACATGGTGTGGCAGACCTCTCCTGTCTCCCCACTGCTCCACTCTGCAGTGTGTTTCAGTCATTCTTCTTGTCCCGCTCCTCACTATGTCTCTGGTGAATCCTCTCACCCACCTCACCTCTGGCCTTTATCCCAGCTGTTGTATGCATAAAAATAAGTAAATCTTAAAAAAAAAAAAAAAGGTGAAAGCTAGATTATGTGAAATATATAGCTCATGTGGAGTCACTTGTATTTTCAGTGATGGCTGTTAGTATCCAGAGTTAGAAGACCAGGCTACCTCCCGGTTCCCCTAAAACTCGCCTTCAGTGCTGATGTCATCCCCTGCTCTCCCTCACCTCAATTCCTTCTCATTTTTAGACTACATGGCTCCTGATCCTCTGTTATTCTTTCCAATACCAATCTGACAACTCTGTGACACCAATTTGGGTGTCTTGCCATTCAACCCAATTCTAATACTAACTACTAGAGTTAGCTCAAAACCCCAAAAGTTACAGGCTCAGATCCACGAGACTGTTCTAATTTCAGATGTCAGATGCAAGTCTTGGGTATCCATAAGCTACTTGTACTTTACCCTGTTCAATTACAAATCTGGCTAATCCTACAACCACTGCTTCACATTTGATACAAGTATCTTCCTCTTTTTAAAAAATATGCATTTAGCCACTTCTTTTTCATGAGAGTACAAAAGTACCTGGTTTCACTAACTAAAAGAAATTCGAAGAAAATTTTCCCTTTTATGACAAAGGTCAAAAATCAAAACTATATTCAGCTTTTGTTTCAGAGCAGTCAGTCTAGAGGCAGTCTGTACCCGAAACAGCAAGTGGTACCCTTCCCTAGGATTACTTTAATCAGGCGAGGCAGTTATCATATCATGCCTGCTTTCACCACACAATAGAGTTGTTTTAGCTTGCATGTGTTATTCGGTATGATTTTGGTAGGTTATTTGTTAGGGCTGGGATCCCTAAACTTTTTCCCAAATAAATGAATGGTCTTTGCTACTTTGGCTTATGCCCTGTTGGCTTGAAAGATTTCATAGGAATGTTCTGCTTTCAGATGGCGGGGAGAACCTATAACTAGTCACAGTGACTCACAGAACTCAGTAAAGTGTGCCCTTATGGTAACTTTTATTATAAAGGACACAAATGACTGACAAGGTGAATAGATATGATGGCAAGTCTAGAAAAGTTTTAGGGGAACCGGGAGGTAGCCTGGTCTTCTAACTCTGGATACTAACAGCCATCACTGAAAATACAAGTACTCTCTCCAGATGCACAAGCCTCCCTGGACATAGATGTGTTCACCAACCAGGAAGCACCACAGCTTCAGTCTTTCAGGGAGTTTACATAAGCAGTTCATTACATAAGCAGATTGATTAAGTCAATGACCATTTGATTGAACGCCTGTAAGAGAGTGTGGTTGAAAGTGTCAATCTTGAATGATGCCCTTGGTTTTTCTGGCATAGACAATCAGCTTCCTTATAACTATCTCAGGCCCACCATAAGTCACCTCATGAATTAGCATAAATTCAAATATGGCATAAAGGAGTTTATTATAAGTAACAGAAAAAATATTTCTATCATCCTAGAATTTTCAAAGTTTCTTTAAGTTTTGTGCCACTGACAGGAGGCAAAGGTCAAATACATTTTCTATTATGCTATATATATATATTACCAAAGGAGGACTCTGTGAAGCAGGTATAGTTGTATAGTTGTTTTTTTTTATTCATACAGAACTGGGGTACAGACCAGAGATGCGGAGGGGGAGAGGATTCACCAGAGACAGAGTGGGGAGCAGAACAGGCAGATCGATGAAGTACACTACTGAGGGGAGCAGTGAGCAGGTCAGGAGGGGTCTGCCATGCCATGTGGTCTCCTCCGGGGCAGGCAGAGATAGAACTCATGCGTAAGTGGCTTAAGCTTCTTAGCGCAGTGCTTTAACCCACTGCGCCACCAGGGAGGGGCAAAGCAGGTATAGTTTTATAGACTAACCTAATCTCAACACTATGTTGCCTTTCTAACCCAGCCCTCTCCCACTCTACACTCAACACAGTTTGCATTGCATTACTTTTTCAAGGATCTTTAGTGGGTTTCCATTAAATAATAAACTTGTACCACTCAAAGCTTTCTAAAATCTATTTTATGGTGGTTGTGTTCATTCTAACACTGGACCATTCTCATCCCCTTCTTTTTCTCCCTTCTAACAGTCTCTCCATCCTCAATTATTATAAAGTCCTAGCTATCATAGGTTCAGTGAAGGAGTAGAGCACCATCACAGAACTAATCGCTTTACATATATTGTCTCATTTAATACACACAAAAAAATCCCACAGTTTATGTGTTCTGATTCTTATTTTAAAGTAGGAAAAAACCTCGGTCTAGACATATCTTATGTGTCTGAAAACATGAATGGATGATTGAATTAGGATTCGGACTCAAATTTATTTAGCTTTAAAAGCACATCACTTTTTCTATGATCCATGAGATACATAAACCCCTACCGCTCCTGCTTATAGATAAAACTCTATAAATTAAACACATATATAGCAGCAATGTACTGGCCAATACCTTCTATTAATATGTTAAGTGTAGTCTATTATCTAAAGCCACAAAAGATTACATGTTCTAAGTCAACCCAGAAATAAGGATAGAATTGTCATAGTCTGCAAATAAGCTAGATGATATCTTAGCGAGCAGTTGGTAGAATAAACATATCAGGTGAAAAGGGGGGAAAGATAAAAAGAGGAAAAATGAAAACAGGTCTTTAAAACTACTAAAATTCCTTTTAGATCAGTAACTTTGTTTATAAAGCACTTTCCTTGACATTGTAGCTTTAAAGAAGTAGAGTAACAACAGGATATTGAGTTGTTGGATTTCCTATTTGTAAATCAGTAATTTATTGTCATAACTTTCTTTTCTAAAGTGAGAATGAACAAATAATTTTTTGACCTCTTCAAAATAAAATTAAGTGTAATACGTAGAATAGCACATAAACTCTAAATATAAACAGTTTGCACCAATATCACGAAGTGAACATATTACATGTTCATCTGGGAAATAGAATATTATCAGAATCCCAGAAGACCTAAGTCTTCCCAATTATTCTCTTCTTCCTCACCAAACATAGTTTCCTGTCATCTAAGACCACAGATTAATTTTGCTTGTTTTTCATGTTTCTAAGGAATCTCATATCACAAATTCTTTGTATCTGGTTTCTTTTGCTGGACATTGTTTGAAAGTTTTCATCTACCTCTTGTACAGCAGAAATTTGTTCATTTTCATTATAGAAAATATGTACTTGTATAAATATGTAACAATTTATTTAACCATTTTCTCAACAGTGGACAGTTGGGTTGTTTCTAGCTTTTGGTTATTATGGATAATGCTCCCACATATATTCTTAGTTGCTTTTCATATGGATTCATATGTTATGGATTCATATGTTGTAGATTCATATGTTTATCTGTTACAGCATGTCTCTTGGGTGTACACTCTACCTAGAAGTTACATTTTTGTGCCAAACAACTGTTCATACATGATTGCTCCATTTACACTCCCACTAGCAGAGCTAGCTATTTAATATAGGGAACCCAGTTATAAATGTATATATAATTGTGAGGCCCGCTTATTTAAAAAGCAGGAAAAAGTCAAATTACTAAAATATGAATTTTCATTTCTTTTGCAGCCTTTTGACTTGCTAAGATTTCTTTAAAATTATTAGCACAAATTTTATCATTAACCGTTATATTATACACATCAGTTTTAAATGCAAACTTGTGTGGAAACATCAAAATATACCATTTGCAGTTTACAGCTTGCAAATACATATGTATTTCATTCTTGTTACAACTGTGGAAAAGCTGCATAAAACTAATCCAACTATTTTTGTATAACTTCTTGATTTGTATATATTCTACCAACCCTTCTAGTAAACACATCTTTTGTTTACTGAAAAGGATAGACTGAAAAGAAGCTATGTTTGCACTCTTTCTTTCATTTTATAATTTTGTTTTTAAGTGTAAGTTCTTGGCTAACACTGGCTAATCCTTAACACTAAATGCAAAAGGATGGACACTCATATTGTGTGTATCTCTCTTGCTCATACCCATGGTCCATTGTGCTTTCACTTATAAGGCACAGTTCAAAGGCAAAATTATTAAAAACTTCAAAATTGCAACAACTGGATATTAAACCAAGTGCAACTCTTCTGATTCCAGAGCCTTGTGCAATTGCACAGGTTGCATGCCTGTGAAGTGAGCTCTAGTTTAAGGTTCCAGTTACTCTATAGCACGTGTGTGTATGGGGGGAGGGCAGAGGCTTGTTTGAATCTTTTGCCAATTTTCCTATTGGCTCATTCTCCCTACTCCCATATTATAACTTATCTTTTTAAATTGTGGCAAGGAGCATTATGTAGATTATTTGTGCAACAAATACTACACTGACTTTTTCACTTCTTTTTTTTTTATTATTTAAGATTTATTTATTTATCCATACCTAACGGGGGTACAGGCCAGAGGTGTGGGGGTGGTGAGAGGATTCACCAGAGACAGAGTGGGGAGCAGAACAGGCAGATCGTCGAAGTACACTGCTGAGCGGGTGGGTCAGGAGAGGTCTGCCTCGCCATGTGGATCTCCTCCGGGGCAGGCGGGGATCGAACTCATGCGGAAGTGGCTTAAGCTTCTCAGTACTGTGCTGTAACCTGCTGGGCCACCAGGGAGGGCCCCTTTTTCACTTCTTTAAAGTCTATTTTGATAAGCTCTTTAAACATAGTTTTTCAATATTTTATTTGAGGTTAACTGCTATTTTGTACCTGGTTTCAGATTTTTTTCTTTCCTCCAAATCATAATGATATTCTTCTATATAATTTTCTTGATTCAAGTATCATTGTTTTGTCTTCCATTTTAGAGTCACAATCTATCTGGAATTTATTTTTTGTAATTGGCAAGAAATCGGTGATCTTTTCAGTCAATAAAAAGATGGGATTTCTGTTATCATGATTCTGTTAAAGAGCAGTATACTTATAAAATTAGAAGTTTTCCTTTGCTTGCCTGGAAATTAGGCAATTTCGACATTTCGACAAAAAAGCTTCTAGTAACACCAACGTGAAGTGTTTAGTTTCAGAATAGGCGTCTATCCTGGGTTCCGATTACTGAGTTTTTTCAGTGTAATGGTTAAAGTCAGATGGGCTGGAGGGATCAAAGTAAACTCATCAAAAAAATTCCAAAGCAAAGGACCCAGGGTATTACTCTGGGCGTATCTATACCTCATTTTTGCACTGAAAAACCACCACCACGGATACTCTGATCCGATTTTTTGCCACCATCTCTCTCCTTTTTGTGTAGCTTCATAGAACAATCTTTTTCCTGCCTTTGGTCATGACATTCTCCAATGTAAGCCACCTTTGGTATACAGTAATGCGGCCATTGCTTATCAATCCGTCCTCTCCCTCGATCTGTCATTTTCTCAGCCTAAGTTGAACTTTGGAAGTGAGCTCATCGATTAGCTCGGACATCGCCCCTCCCCGACGAGGCAGCTCGACTAGTTCGGGCTGTTTCGCTTCATCCGGAAGTGTGAAGGCCGTTGCAGTCTGAGTCTTCGGTTCCGCTGGGTGACTGGCGTTCCGCAGCGACCATGGCCGATCCTGACTCCGGCTACCGCTCCTCCTCCATCGAGGACGACTTCAACTATGGCAGCTGCGTGGCCTCCGCCAGCGTGCACATCCGAATGGGTACGTCACCTTTTCTCTAGGTCCAGCCGGGCCTCCCGTCTCCTTTCGCGGCGCAGTCGGTCTCGGAGGTGACTTCCGGCTTCAGAGGAGAGCGCCCTCCGCTGCCGGGCTGGGAAGGAGCGCGCCGGCCGCCCAGGGGCTCCGTGAAGCCCGCCCCAACTCGGAGGACCAGCGCCCTCTGTCGGGAGAGAAGAGGAAGCGCTCGGCCCGATTCCGGGGTTCTCGTACACCTGCGATCGGAGACCCAAAACTGGAGCCCTTCTTGCTTTATGCCCTGTCTTCTTCGGCGTAGAGGGGCACGGATGAAAACCCTCGCCGCCTTATTTGACTTCTTTAAAAGAAACTCAGTGTTGTTGTGTTTTTGGGGGGGAGGTGGAAATAAGTGGATTATGTAATCATCGTGACGTATAGCTGAATGGAATTATTTGGATGTGTTTTCTAAGAGGGGGCATGAACTAGTTTTAAGTTTCGGTTGTCTTTCCTTTGCTGCATAGTAGGCTGTGAGGGCGGAGACCATCTGACTGTTGACTATTTTCTCTGTAGGACCTGGAACACAACATAGTTTTGCGTATTATTGAGGCACTTAACTGGAAATGGAAGCTTTGTAGGTCAGCCAAAATGCCGTTTAACTGGTATTGTATCCAGTGGGCAGAAATTATGAATTTAAATTCCCCAGCTACATGTAAGTGGAATTCAGTGTCTGTTCTAGTTCGCCATTTAGTCTCAAGCTACCTCAGATTTTCACTCTGACCGTGCAACTGGAACTTGTTCTGGAAAAGGAATTTTGAAGATCTGTTGCACTAAGACTCTCATTCCTAGTATCTGTCTTTCTGGAATTTAATTTTAAAAGAACCCTTTTTTTAAATAAAAAATCTTAATTGTGGCAAAATATATGTAACATTAAAAAGTTACCATATTCACCATTTTAAGCATTCCAGTTCAGTGGTATTACTTATATTGTGATTGTTATGCAGCCAATCTCCAGAACTTTTTTATCTTGCAAAACCAAAACTCCATACTGGCCAAACAACTTTTCATTTCTCTTCTCCAAAGCCCGTGTGTGCGTGTGTGTGTGTGTGTGTGTGTGTGTGAGAGAGAGAGAGAGAGAGAGAGAGAGAGAATGAATCTGGTCACTCTAGATACCTCATAAAAGTGAAATAATACAATATTTATCTGTTTGTGACTAGCTTATTTCAATTAGCATATTTTCAGGGTTCATCTATGTTGTAGCATGTGTCAGTATTTGCTTTCTTATTTTTTTTAGGTTGAAAAATAGTCTGATATATGTATAAACCATATTCATCTGCTAGTGGACATTGGGTTGCTTCTGCCGCACTGTGAATAATACTGCTATCCATATAAACACACAAGTGTCTTCGAACTCTCCTTTGAATTCAGAAAGGAGAACTCAGTTCTGTCACTATCTGGAGATAAAGTGTCAGATCTCACAGGTTAAGAGCTCAGTTCCAGAAAACTGCTTCCACACTATATTGATTGATTTTTATCTGTTGAACCATCCTTAAGTTCCAGAATAAATCCAGCTTGGTCATGGTGTATAATCTTTTTAGTTTGCTGTTGAATTTTGCTTGTTAGTGTTTTGTTGGTGACTTTTGCACCAGTATTCATCAAGGATGTTTTCTTGTAGTGAGTTTGGCTTTGATATTGATGCTGGTTCATAGAATGAGGATGAAAGCATTCTTCAGTTTTGTTGGAGTGTTAGGACTGATGTTAAAACTCAACTTTTTAAAAAATTATTATAATAATTTATTTTCACATTATTTATGCTTTTGCTATGAGTGAAACCATCTGGTATTTTTGTTTTTCTTTCTGGCTTATTTTGCTGAGCACGGTCTCTTCCAGCTCTGTCCATGTTGCTGCAAAAGGCTAAAACTCAACTTTTAATATATAATTTTTAAACCAGTAAGGCTTTCTTCAGATTCCAATTGTAAGGTGGACAGTGAGTGACAAGGTGATGTAGAAGAGTAAGAACTGGTATTGCAAGTCCTGGGAGTGGTGAGAATTTCTAGCTATCTCAGAGATACCAGTGGGAGAATGAGGATTCCGCTAATCCCAGAAGTGATTAAGAGAATGAGTCATTTCGGGGAAGGACAGAAAATGGCAGATATTGCAGAAAATTAAATTCATGGAGCAGGAATGTGAACAGAAGGCATTCATTAGAGATTTATTGTTGAGCCAGCGTACTGCCATTGAGGAGACATCTGAATCATTAACATACATTTAATAAATAAACTTAATTTTAAAAAATATCCCCTTTTATTCCCTATAAACTCAGTGAGAAAATAAAAGTTTTGGAATTCACAGTTGCTCTCCTTAATGCATTAGTTAGGTTGGTCAGTAACTAAACTAATCTGGGATAGCAAATTAATTAAATTCTAAATGCCAAGTCTGGAGGAAATTTAGGAAAGGAAGTGAAAGTGTGTGACTAGGAATAATCTAGGAAAGCTTCAAGGAGGAATGGAATCCCAGTCAAGGGCTGGGTTTGGATATGTGAATGCAAACAAGATTTTATAACAGTTTTCCCTGTAATTACAAACCCTAAAATAACATACACATATGTTTAAAGAAACTCAAATTTCAAAACACTTTTCTAAAATAACAGTTCTTTGCAGGGAGGCTGGAAGACCCCAACCAGGTTTCATAATTCATAGATGAATGTTCTTTCTACCTGTATCTGTGTATGTAGACCGTTACAAAGAATTAGTCTTATAAGTGGTTAACTTCCGTATGTTTCACATCAATATACATGTTGAAACACAACAAAAATTTGTAGCAGAAACACAATAAAATTTGTTCACTTATTAATATTAAAATTATGTAGGAGCATTTTACTTCAGGAGCCTTGGTAACTGGACTGATAAATAAACTTACTACATGTGTATAACAAGGTAGTTCTTACCTATCTCTGGTCTTTAGTTAAGAAAAGCTTAAGACAAAATGTCACAATTTTTTTTTTAAAGATTGATTTATTTATGTATACAGAACTGGGGTACAGGCCAGAGATGCAGGAATGGTGAGAGGGTTTACCAGAGACATTGGGGAGCAGAACAGGCAACCGAAGAAGTGCGCTGCTGAGGGAGCAGCGGGGGGGGTCAGGCGAGGTCTGCCGTGCCATGTGGGTCACCTCCAGGGCTAGGGATCGAACTCATGCTGAAATGGCTTTAGTTTCTTAGTGCTGTGCTTTAACCTGCTGTGCCACCAGGGAGAGCCCGTGTAGTTTTTATGAAAGCATGTCAGCTGCTTGTAATATGTCCACTCTGGAAGATACTTTTGGAATAATATACATTTAAAATGTCAAGGTGCAATGGTAGAAAAAGAAAATCAGAAACAATATGTGAAAATAAATTTTTAAGTATGTATCTTGAGTATTTACAGTGGCAATTAAACACTTTATGTAACTAATATATAATAGCTTATTAAACTAACCTATTTTAGCAATATGCTATATGCATACTCTTGCAATATTAACAGTTTTATAGATTCAGGAGCACAGCTTTATAAACTATGTAATTTTACAGTTCTGCACTATTTTACAATGAAAAAACCACCAGTACATATAGCTTTGTCATACTCTTTTTAACTGCACTAGTCTTCATATTACAGATGTACCATAAATTATTTACTCATGCACTCCTGATGGATATTTAGGTTATTACTTCTCCTTTTTCCTCCTTCAAATAGTGATCTGTGGGATATCCTTCCCCAGCTTTATGAATTTCTGTAAGTATTGCACTAAGATAAGTTTTTATGAGTAAAATTAAAAGGTCAAGAAAGCATGTGCATTTTAAATTTGATGTCATTTGATGTTATCAACTACCCTCCAAAAAGACTGCCCTTGTTAAACTCTCCAGCAAACACTATATGAGGGTACTTTTTCCCTTTTCTTGCCTCCTTGCTGGATATCATCAAACTTTTTAATAGTTGGCAATTTGATAAATCAGGATCTGGTAAATATTTTCTATAAAGGGCCATTTTGTAGGTATTTTTAGCTTTGTGGTACCATAAGTTAGCCAGCAACTATTCACCTCCATTGTTGTAGTAGAAAAGCAGTTAGAGAGAATATAACTGTTGTGCCCATTAAAACTTAATAAAATCTGGTGGTGGGCTGAATTTGGCTGATGGGCCACAGTTTGCTGTCTCTTGTGTTAGGTAGAAAATGTTATTTTAATTTGCATTTCCTTAACTATGTGCATGCAAGTGAACATTTTTCTTCATTTATAAATTGTATTTCTCTAGGTACTAACTTTAGAGGTATAGCAATAAGCAGACAGTATTTTAGTCCTCATGTTGACATTTAGATTGGTGATTAGGGGAGACAGATCCTAAAAAGGTAAGTGAATAAATAACTGGTAAGTTCTTTGAAGAAATGAAACTGGGAATAGGTTGTAGGGTTTCGGCTAGCAGCTATTTCAGTTTAGGGATGGTCACCAGGCAAGGAGCTCTTAAACCAGATGGCAGTTGTACTCTATGAGAAGACATGAGCCTGGTACATTGGTTTTTTATTGCTTCATAAGAACTAATATGCCAAAATTTAGTTGTTTAAAACAACAAATGAAAAAGAGTTCCTTTGTGGTAGCAACCTGTCTAGGCAAATCTGATTTCCTGGAATAGGGTTCCGTGTTGACACAATGATCTGAGAAATCAGTGACTTACTCCAGGCCACAAGACAGTGATGGCAGAGCCAAGATGCACTTCCCACAGGTCTGGCTCCTTGTCTGTTATTATCACACCTGGAGTCTTTAACATGTGCGCTGGGGATCACAGTTGGCAATATCATAAATGTTACCTTTTAAATTTTTTTTATTATTTTGCCCAAAAAACCTCCAAAACCAAATAGTTGTCATTTCACAAAGTAAGTCAGGAATGTGGAAGGGGGGTCAGGGAGGTGGTTCTGGCTCAGTCTCATGAGATTTCAGTTAAGATATGGGCTGGGACTGCAAGCTAAAAGCTTTACTGGGCTGGATATCTACCTTTAGGAAACCACATTCCTTTTTTTTTTTTGAAAGATTGATTTATTTATCCATACAAGAACTGGGGTATAGGCCAGACATGTGGGGCATAAGAGGATTCACCAGACACAGAGTGGGGAGCAGAACTGGCAGATGTACTGAAATCCTACTGCTGAGGGGAGCAGCTGTCAAAACAGGAGAGTTCTGCTGTGCCAAATGTGGGTCACCTACCAGGTCAGGGATGGAACTCATGTCGCAGTTTCTAACGACAGCTTGCTAGTGCTGGGACTTTAACTCCTGTGCCATGAAAGGCACCTGAAATCGTGTTCTCAGTGATTGTTGAGAGAAGGCCTCAGTATCTTGCCACAAGACTGGTTCGCTTTTTATAATTAACTATTCAAAATGATGTCAAATGTTACTTTGCCTGGAATTTAATGTTAAGGTCCCATTTTTTTTTTAAAGATTTATTTATTTGTTCATACAGAACTGGGGTACAGGCCAGAGACTCAGGGGCTTCACCAGAGATAGAGTGGGGAACAGAACAGACAGATCGACGAAGTACACTGCTGAGGGGAGCAGCGGGCAGGTCAGGAGAGGTCTGCCACACCATGTGGGTCACCTCCGGGGCAGGCGGGAATCGAACTCATACGGAAGTGGCTTTAGCTTCTCAGTGCTGTGCTTTAACCTGCTGTGCCACCAGGGAGGGCCTAAGGTCCCATTTTTAAAAAAAGATGTATTTATTTATACATCCAGATCTGGGGTACAGGCCAGAGGTGCAGGGGCGGTGAGAGGATTCACCAGAGACAGAGTGGGGAGCAGAACAGGCGGACTGACGAAGTACACTGCTGAAGGTGTTGTGCCAGATTTCAGTTTCCCAAAGACCACCAAGGAGTCGATTCCAATGCAGAGCACATGAGGGTCTTTATTGCAAGCTTGAGCCTCCGCTCCCAAACACAGACACGCACCGGCACTGCCGCAGCGGCCAAAGTTGCGAGCCCTGAGCTCAGAGAAGGCAGGGTTTTTATTACAGAAGAGGGGAGTTTCAGTTCAGCGGAGGGGAGTTTCAGCTCAGCAGTACGTTGATTGGTGGACATTGAGCAAAGTTATCTTGTCTTAACCTGGTTGGTCTATGTATGTAAGATGTGACCTTCCCTACTTGGCCCACCTGGATGCCTTAGGACATTTGGTGCTTTCCTGATATGCACTGGTTACTTGCCTACTTGCAAATTGGCTGTTGCTATGGGATGAAGAAGATTAGGACATTTACAGCTAAACTCGGCCTTGGTGCCTTGTTGATAAATGTAACTTAGGCCTCGCTGGTTCACAAGCATTCTGAAGCCTGTCATGGCGTCAGTTTGGTCTTTCAAAGGGAGCAGTGCGCAGGTCAGGAGAGGCCTGCCACACCATATGGTCACCTCCAGGCGGGTGGGGATCAAACTCGTGCTGAAGTGGCTTTAGCTTCTTAGTGCTGTGCTTTACCCCACTGTGCCACCAGGGAGGGCCCGTAAGGTCCCATTTTTAAAGGCTATAGAAAAACGGATTTGGACTCTGTGATACATGTGAAGGATTATTTTCATGGCAAATTTATTGGCTTAGCATAGGTTTATTAAAATGTTTTTCTATCATAAATGTAATATGTATATGTGATATTTAAAATTTTAACACAGTTTAGCAAAAAACTGAAAATGAAAATCATCAATTGTACTACCCAGACAAAAGTATTATTAACATCTCAGTATATACAGTCTTCTGTCTTTTATTATATAGGTACTTGTTTATATATACACACATATGTAAATGTATCTATCAATACATACACTGTTTTGAACTGTAGAACCATTCCATAAAATGGTGAGGATTATAATTAACTTTCACTGGATAATTTAGAATATATATTATATAGAATGGGTCTGAATTATAAGAGGCAATAATAGGGTATGAAATGTAAAATATATCTTTTTAAGCCCAGACAAGCCCTTGGAGGAATTATGGTTTGAACTTTGGTTTAACAATTACTTTTTCAGAAAGATAGCCCAAATGACATTGTCCATGACACTAACTCATTGTTTTTCTCTGGTTTTGTGAAAAAGGTGGCTCTGACCTCCCAAAGCACACAGACATAAGGGTTTTTTTTTTTAAGAAAGTAAGCTGTGGATCTGCTGTCAAGACTAGCACTGCTTATTACTTTTTGTTCAAGATATACACCTATGTTCAGGCCAAAGTCAACTGATACTGTTACCATGAGTCACTGGATAAATGATATGGTCAATAAAACCTAATTAAAGGGGCAACAAAAACAAATCTAATGAAGACATTAGGAAAAGCTCACTCTCTGCCAGGAGGAAATACTAAGATTTTGAGGATTAAATCTTTGGCATTTGTGAAATTTTCCTTATTCTCATAAAATTCTTAATTTATTAGTTGGTATTTTGCCGACATGGCATCAAAATACTTCATCCTTATCTTGAGAAGCCAGGTCTTTGATACGATATTCTTTCAAAGAGAAATTTTATCAAATGAACACCAAGTTGTAGTGAGTGGTGAAAGACAGGACTTCTTCGTTTAGTAAAAGTCATTAAAAAATGTTTTAATTGCCCACCTAAAAGCATAGTGCTCGCTCTACTTAATTTGCTCCATTATTATTTTACAATAGTGCTTTCTTTCTTCCCACCGAAATTTATCTTTCTTTAATTCAATATAATTTTAAAGCAAATAAAATTTAATGCACATTTATTCTTTGCCATACACTTTGCTGGTTTCTAAGGATATGAAAATGAGTAAGGCAAGCTTTAGTCTATAGTGTAATGGAAGTTAAAGAAAATTAAGTGATTTAGAATTATGTTTAGGGCCCCTTGGGAACATACAAAGGAACATTTAATTTAGAAAGAGGAACTGAGAAAGGCTGAGTCTGGAAAGGTGATTAACAGTGAGCTAAAGGAATAGGGGAGAAGGGCGTTATCAATAGTATACACAGAAGGGAGGTGGGAACTGCTGTTGGCTGTTGTATTTCTGAAGGTGGTGAGTCCCTTGCATTATTTATATAAGTTGTATATCAGAATACTTTAATAAATATTTTTTAATTAGTAGGCCTCACATGATTTACGGATGTTTAATAATGAAATATTCTAAACATAAGAATTTCTTACTTTATGAAAAGTAGAGACAGGCACTATAAATGGTAAATCAGAACAGACGAGTAAAATTAAGTTTACATTATTTGTTTTTAAAGGTATGTTTCAATTTAATGAAATAATTTTGTTGCTGTGGAAATTAAAATAACTTATAAAGTTTATATCTATTGTGTCCTTTTAAATCCTGCTTTGTTTCAAGATACTTTAAAAATGTTCTGCTTTTAATCTTTTGCTTTGTTGTATGCTGCTGTGTACAAAAAACATAACCTTTTCATTTTTATGAAAACATTTATATTTTTCACCCATTTATTTCATGCTTCTTGGAGGACTAATTATCACAATTTTTGGATTTCTAGGAATCATTTTTAATTTTAATTAGATTATTTGCATTAAGACTTAAGAAAGATTACATGTAAAAAGTTAATGTTTCTAAGAAGAAATGTGTTCTTAGTGTTCATTTATTAATGCTTAGTCATGTGTAATTTTCTTCTTTCAGCTTTTCTAAGGAAAGTCTACAGCATCCTTTCTCTTCAAGTTCTCTTAACTACTGTGACATCTACAATATTTTTATATTTTGAGTCTACACGGACATTTGTACATGGAAGGTAAAGTAATCAGATAATTCTGAATCATTTTAATCCACTACATATGGGAAAGAGATTATATAATTAAGTTCATCTTTTATATCAATTTTTATGTTAGAATATAAAAAATCATCATTATTAATGCTTATGAATAAGATTACTTTTGTTTTATACAACATCTTTACCTCTAAATTCTTTTTTTTAAACAGTTCCTAAAGGTTAAAAATACTCACCTTCTGGGATAATGCTAAGAATTTTTGCTGTATGAAGTTTTAACATTTTTTAATTGATTTCTTTTCATTAACCTTATGACCTGTGTAACCCAAAGCCTATTATATAGTGCGTGAAAGATAAAGGTACTCAATAAATGTACATTTACTTTATCTTAGTTTTGACTTGTGGCATGTCAATTTCTTTTTTTTTCCCTAAGGTTTATTTATTTATGCATATAAGAACTGGGATACAGGCCAGAGGTGTGGGGTTGAGAGGAGCCACCAGAGACAGAGAGGGGAGCAGAACAGGTGGACAAACTGAAATACACTACTGAGGGGAGCAGCAGTGAGCAGACAGGAGAGGTCTGCCGTGCCATGTGGGTCAGCTCCCTGGCTGGAACTGATGCTACAGTGGTTTCTGATAGCTTCATCGTACTGTGCTTTAATCCCCTGTTACCACCAGGGAGGGCCTGGCATTTCAATTTCACTGACAATTTTTCACTTCTAATTTATTTAAGACCTGGCTTCCAAAATAATTTTTCCCTGGATAAAAGGAGTATATATTCTTTATGTTAAAGAAAGGGAAAAATGAATGAATATTTTCTAAGAAGTAGAAAATTACTGTCCTCTGTCCCCTTACATAAGGAGAATATAGAACTACTAGTTTTTTGTTGGAAAAAGATATTTAAGTTATAACTATATTGTAAATTTCCTGAAACAGTAGTTAGTATAAAAGTTGTTTATTTCAAATTTTTATTCTGCTTAGTCCTAAAAGCAGAATGCTAATTGCAGAAATTATTCAGAATGAAAGAAGTTTGCAGTAAAAAGATAATGCTTCCCCATTTGTGGCCTCTTTGTCCTGCTCCTCCTCATCTCACTCTCTCAAATTTTAACAGTTTTGGTGCATCCATCTAGATTTTATCAATATACTTTGTAAACATATAAAGATTTTTTATTAAATTGGATATCATTTATTTAATTTTTAAAACTTGAAATGTTTTTAATGTTATGTCTTTCAGTCCTGCCTTACTTCTGGTATTTGCCTTTGGATCTCTGGGTTTGATTTTTGCACTGATTTTAAACAGACATAAGCATCCTCTTAACCTCTACTTGCTTTTTGGATTTGTAAGTACTTAACATTTATTTATCTTAAGTTTTAGATTTATTTTAATTGAATTCATATACATATATAACAATAGCAGAACAAAATTGAGTTTTTTTTTAAATGAGGATATAGTAAATCACTTGTAATTTTAGTTTTTTGGAGTTTTTAACCTTTTGTCACTTTTAAAGATTTTTAAAAATTATGTTCATTTCGGTAAAGGTGGTATAAGTTTTAGGGGTATAAGTTCACACCTCTACAGGTGTATGTTATCATACCTACTTCCACAGTGTCAACAGTCCTTCAGCAGTCTATTGAGGCCTCTCCTCCTTTATTCCCATCATGGTTTTCTGTAGTCTCAGTTCTACAGTCAGAGTTCAAGAATTTGTCTATTCCTTTGCTTTGTTCTCTATATATTCCACATGAAGCATGTAAAATATATTACTGAGACTTCTGATGCTGGGTAATTTTGCCCTGCTCCATCACAGTAAGAAAAGGGGTAAAAGAGATGCTAAAGGAAAAAACTCAGTATTTCTACACTTTATTTAGGATATGAGTTCAACTACTTGTAACATGTTTTAAACAGTGACAAAACCCCAGTGGCCTTAAACAGGATGGTTTGTTTTTATTTCTTGTAGACTCTGAATGACTGTTTAATTACACTGTCAGAGGCCCAGGTGCCTACATGCTGGTATCAGCATTGTATTCCTCAAGCATTCCTAAGGTATTACATTAGATAGCTTACTACCATCTCCACTTTCCAGGCAATGATTGTAAAAAGAAAAAATAGAGAAGAGAAAGGAGAGAACAAACCTTTTGCCTTTTAGACGTTGTGTATTTCTCTATTGATATTCTGTTGGCTAGAATATAGCCCTATGACCACATCTAGTTCTAGGCAACTGATGCTGCAAAACTGTAATGTTAATCCAAGTAACAATTATGTACAGGCGAAAATTCTGTTACTAGGGAGGAAAAAGAGAATGCTTATTGGATGACAATTTCAAGACTATCATACCAAAGTACTGCCTGTATTATTTTTCCTATGCTTGTGTGAGATATTGAGGTCTTTGTAAATGTGCATGATTTGCAGTGTTATTTATATTAGAGTGAGAAAAATAAAATTTCCTCTATCATTTCTTATATAATCATCCTATAATAGGAAAACCTCGTCTAGTTAGATAGAATCATAATTAGAATCTAAATATTTTTAATACACTGAGAAGTACACTGAGGTCTTATTTTCATTACAGTGGGCTTAAAATCTGTCCCTTATACTTTACAAGACTGCTCTGAAACTAAAATAAAATTATGCATATGGAATCATATTGAATTCCTAGAAATGAGAACTTATACATGAGACAGTATAAATATTAAGTGTAACTTTAATTTCTTTTCCTTAGACACTGTCGGAAGCTCTCTGTGTGGCCTTTGTTGGTAAGCTATAATTGTGCTTCTGTATATTACAGTATTTTTTTTTAACGTGGAGTAATCTTGAGTAAAAAGGTGTTTGGGACTAAGTGTCGTATTTCAAAAGTTGACACAGATGAATTCCTAAAATAAAAGCAAAATTAAAATGTAGTTTAACTAGCTTAGAGGAAGTGGAAAAAATTAGGAAAACAATAGGAGTAGAGAACATTATTTGTTTGCATTTATCCCTTTATCAAAATAAAACCACCTCAGCTAATCTTTTCCCTAATTTTAAGGACTTGTAGGGGAACTGATGTTTTGTGCTATGTACTTTCATTATGAGCTCAGTCTCTCCAATTGCCTGTTTTGAACTGTGCCGTATTGTTGTATCTTCATAATTTATAAAATGGACTCCAAGAAACAGTGGTAATTTCTGATTTGTATTTGAAAGGAAGTGTCCCTATGGAATACCTCATTAAAAAAAAACTGTGATTAATAAGAATTGTGATAGTCTCAAAATGATTAACCTTGGGTACCAGAAAGGTCAAAATTAACTATTACTCTCAATAACAAATTAATTCTTATTTTAATATATTTAGTTCTTCCTATTTTATCATTGTTGATTTTAACCTTAATATGCCAGTTTTACTAAATTTATATATTGCTTGGTGTTCTTCCTTTTATAAAAGAATAAAAGGATTGTAATTTCAACATGGAAAGGAAGTATTAATATTTCCATATTATTAGTGTTATTGTCTACTAATGCTATATACTATTAATGTTATTATCAAGTTCATCTCTTCCCTCCTGGCTCCCAACATTTGTAAGGGATTTAGGAGCTCTTTTTCAGTTATTCTAATTAGGATTAGAAATGCATAAGTGGGGTAATCAGGGTAATATTTCCTCACTAATTTTAATGTTTTTCCACTTAATCTTATGCTGAACTTACTGACAAGATGCAATATTGATTTCATGTTTTATATTTTCTGCACATTTCCTAGTCCTGTAGTAGCATAGAGAGATTTCAATAATGTAGCATTTTGGAATATAAAAGAACTTATTTAATTAATCCCAGAAAAATAAAACTACTTAGTTTTGGGTGAAATTTTATCATTATTTTAAAATATTAAGCAGTTACATTAAAATAAACATAGTCCACGTGGTCATTCTAAAATTGCAGAAGAAAAATTTTTACATTATCACAACTCCACAATAATTTACTCCAAGATAAAACACTTGGATATAGAGTGATTTGTGGATAGTTTCTCTTTTCTGTAG